GGAGAAGACTCTTGAGGGTCCCTTGGACTGCCGACTCGATGGACATAGTTTGAGTAGGCTCCAGGAGTTGGTGATGGACAGGGAAGCCTGGAGTGCTGCAGTCCATGGGGTCGCAAAGAGTCAGACATGACTGAGTGACTGAACTGAACTGAAATTAAAAATGAAATGAAGGGGGGGCGGAAAGCATACCTATTGCCAAAACTCTGCTCTGAATTAGCTCCCCTGAATTGTCTCCATAGGAACTTTTTATTTATTTTTAAATTTTACTGGACTATAGTTGATTAAGATGAGTGCTGAAGAATTGACCCTTTTAACTGTGATGTTGGAGGAAACTCTTGAGAGTCCCTTGGACTGCAAGGAGATCCAACCAGTCCATCCTAAAGGAAATCAACCCTGAATATTCATTGGAAGGACTGATGCTGAAGCTGAAGTTCCAATACTTTGGCCACCTGATGCAAAGAACTGACTCATTGGAAGAGACCCTGATGCTGGGAAAGATTGAAGGCAGGAGGAGAAAGGGACAACAGAGGGCAGGATGGTTCAATCGTATCACTGACTCGATGGACATGAGCTTGAGCGGGCTCCGGGAGTTGGTGATGGACAGGGAAGCCTTGGGTGCTGCAGTCCATGGGATTGCATAGAGTCAGACTGAGTGACTGAACTGAACTGATTTACAATGATTTACAGTGTTAGTTTCAAGTATACAGCAAAATGATTCAGTTATAGGTATACATATATTTATTCTTTTTCAGGTTCTTTTCTCATACAGGTTATCACAGAATATTGAGCAAACTTCCCTGTGCTATATAGTAGATCCTTATTGGTTATCTATCTTATATATAGAAGTATGTATATGTTAATCCCAAGCTCCTGATTTCTCTCTCCCCACATTTCCCTTTTGGTAACTGTAAGTTTGTGTTCAATATCTGTAAGTCTGTGTATTAATCTTTTTAGATCTCACAAAATTATTTTAGGATAATAAACCAAGTGATGATTAAAACAGGGAATTATACCCTGGTGGTCCAGTGGCTGGGACTCCGAGCTCTCAATGTTGAAGACCCAGGTTCAGTCCCTGGTTGGGGAACTACAGTCCCACAGGCCACGCAGCACAGCCAACAGAATAAACAAACAAAACAAACAGAAAAAAACAAGTGATGAATAAAACAGGAAAAGAAAGAACTATCATGGGACAAGGACATGCATTATCTTGGTATCTGTAGCTGAATTTCTTTAATGTATTGTTATGAAGAATCGAAAAACACAGCAAAACAATTTCACAGTTTTCCCATCAAGAGGTAGAGTCTTTCCCCATCCCTAGAATCTGGGCTGACCTCACAACTTGTTCTGGCCAGTAAAATGTGGCAGAAGTGGTACCATGTGAGTTTTAGAGCCTGGGCCACAAGGGGCCTTCTAGTTCCTGCTCTCAGATTCTTGCCACTACTTAGGGAAGCTCAGGCCAACCTGCTGAACGACAGGAGCTCATAGCCAGGGAGAGGCCCAGTGAGCTGCCAACAGCAAGAAAGGCAGAGAGGAGCTTTCCCCAGTGGCTCAGTGGTAAAGAATCCACCTGCTGATGCAGGAGACACAGCTTCAATCCCTGGTCCCAGAGGATCGCGCATGCTGTGGAGCAGCGGAGCCCATGTGCTACAACTAATGAGCCTGTGACCTAGAGCCTGGGAACCACAACTACTGAGCCCGCAAATCACAATTACCGAGCCTATGTACTGCAACAACCGAAGCCCGCACGCCCTAGAGCCGGAGCAGGCAACTAGAGAATAGGCCCCCCTCACAACTAGAGAAAGGCCCATGCAGCACCCAAGACCCAGAACAGCCAAAAATAAAATAAATTAAAATCATTTTAAAAAGAAAAAAAGAAAGAGAGGGAGGCCTCCTTGAACCCTGGGCTTCCTTTGTGGCTCAGCTGGTAAAAAATCCACCTGCAATGCAGGAAACCTGGGTTTGATCCCTGGGTTGGCAAGATCCCCTGGAGAAGGGAAAGGCTACCCACTCCAGTATTCTGGCCTAGAGAATTCCATGGACTGTATAGTCAGTCCATGGGGTCGCAGAGTCAGACAGAACTGAGCAACTTTCACTTTTTAACTACCCAGAAGAAGTTCAAGGGCCTAGCTAGACCTTTCACTGGTAGGGGTTAGGGGAAGATATTCCCAGGACCTGAGGCCAGTTCGTCAAGCCCTGAGTGGCTGAGAAGTAGATGGAGTTGGTGAATGACATGTTTATCAATCAACTGCTCAGAGAAGGCTGAAGGCATGATGAAGACTCTGACTCTGGGCCCTGGGACGGCTGCTCCTTCCCAGATATTCACTGTAGATTCACTGTAGATATTCACTGTAGATATTCTCAGAATCTTCCTACCCACTTAACAGATAGATGTAGCCTTAGGTACTCACATGACCTCTTTGACCCTGCATACTCATCTCAGGATGGGAAGATTCATTCCTACCCCAAATGGATTGTGGTAATAAGTAAAATAATGCCAGTGTAGTGTTCATGAAATGGCACCTTTCAGGTATTACACATGGAGCAGCTGGATTTTCTCAGTATTAAAAAGAACCTTAATAACAATGTATTACAGTCATGATATAAACTGTCCCTAGGCCTTCCCTGGTGGCTCTGTGGTAAAGAATCTGCCTGCAATGCAGGAGACCCGGGTTCAATCCCTGGGCCGGGAAGATCCCCTGGAGAAGAGAATGGCAACGCACTCCAGTATTTTTGCCTGGAAAACCCCATGGGTCAGAGGATACAGGCCCTTGAACTTCTTCTGGGTAGTTAAAAAGTGAAAGTTGGTAGGATACAGTCCATGGGGTTGCAAAGAGCAACTAACACTATAAGCTGTCCCAATCTTGGGGTCTTCAGGTAGAGGCTGGCAGACCTGTGTGGCCCTTCAGCACAGAAGGAAGTCTCTCCAGAGTCCTTAAGAACCTGAGTGATTGGACAGGCCACAGGAGAAAAAGTGGGCTCCACTGAGGTCACCTCCAGAGACCTGTCCATTCCTCATCCCCTCCCCACCAGCCCCACCATGACAGGAAGCAATAGACTGTTGGAACCAGGAAAGGTCTCTGAAATAACCCCAGGCCTTATGTTCTGTTAGCAGCTCTAGGCGAGGCCTCCCTGGTAGCTCAACTGGTAAAGAATTTGTCTGCAATGCAGGAAACCCCGGTTCTATTGCTGGGTGGGGAAATTCTCTTGGAGAATTGATGGGTTACCCACTCCAGTATTCTTGGTCTTCCCTGGTGGCTCAAAGAATCTGCCTGCAAAGCTGGAGACCTGGGTTTGATCCCTGGGTTGGGAAGATCCCCTGGAGGAGGGCCTGGCAATCTATTCCAGTATTATTGCCTGGAGAATCCCATTAACAGAGGAGCCTGACAGACTACAGTCCATAGGATCGTGAAGAGTTGGACATGACCGAGTGACTAAGCGCAACACAGCTAAGCAGCTCTAGAATTTCCATACAGGAGGGGATTAAGGATGGGCAGTCTGCTGGGAAGGAAGCGTAAGGAGCTTACCCATCAATAGAAGCTGTGTTTAGAATGCACACACATTTCTCCCCTAGCTGTGTTTATGAAAGAGTTTGGGGGAGGGGAGGTGGAGGGTAACACTGCTGATGGAGATACTAAAGCTTCTTCTCTAGGTCATCTTTGGCCTTGACTCAGGATGTTATCCAGTATCTATGGTACCCTCAGAAAATCACTTTTCTCCAAGCTTTAGTTTCCTTATCAATCAAAGTTGACTGATAATAGCCTCCCTTTTTTAGGTTGCTGTAATGTAAATGAAGTGTTGCATGGGAAGGGTCTGGCACATAGTAAGCACTGTATTAATGGAAGGGGTGTTACTGTTAAATTCACTACTATTAGTATTAGAATTTATGTTATTTTCAAGGCAGAAACTAAGACTCAAGAAGAAAGGAAACCTTGAACAAGACCCTGCAATTAAATAATAGAAACACTGCTGTAGCTCTTTCCATGGGACCGAGGGACTCCAGCTCACCCACCCAGAGAGTCTCTTGCTGATTACTTTGGCAGCTGTGACCTTTCCAGCAGATGTCACCTATGCCCTGCAGGGAGCAGAGATTTAGACTTTCAACATTTCCTCTTTGAGCTGGGGCTAGGGCTGGGGCTGGGGCTGGGGCTAGGGCCCCTCTTTAGGCTCCACTAAAATAACCGGCAAACACAGCTACTCAATTAATGTCTTTATTCGTACTCACTGATTTTTCCCACGGGGAAACTGTTGAAGGGACAGAAGGGGAAGGCTGGGCGGGGGGAGCCATGACTTGGTTTTCCTCCATCCAGTGAAGGAAGTGACAGAGGAGGGAAAGAAGTAAAGAGAGTGACCAAGGGGACCATCACGACGTGGACTGAGATGCATTGTGCAGTGACTTCAGACAACATGAGTCCTTCCGTCGGCAAATGCAATGTCAAGTGGAAAAGTAAAAAAAAAAAAAAATCCAAAGAAAAGAACAAAGTGCATACAAAGCAAACTGCTAACGTAGGGACGGTTCTAAGGCAGCCAACAGGGAGAAGGCCAGATGTCTGGGGTGGTCACCCGACCGTGCCCCTCTCCCACTGCCCCACGCCCGGCCAGGCTGTCGGGCCACCAGTGCCCTCTCGACATAGTCTCTGTTGGCTCCACGGGTGCTGTAAAGCCACAGAAGTTTGTGGAAGGAGGAGAGCTTGAAGCGTGGCAGCACCAAGGCAGCCCAGGCATGGCTGCATTGAGAATCTCAAGGCATCTCTTTGGGGGTGGCTCTGGAGGGCCGGTGAGATATGGAGGGGGAGGGACTCCCAGGAGGGGTACAATCAGCACCTTTACTTGAGCACAGGGCAGAGCCACTCTAGGTCTTCTTAAATTACCAGGTGGGGGTGAGAAGGCTGATTAATTACAGAACTGCGGGCTACCCCACCCACTCGGGTCCTTCCCTGGTGCTCAGGGCCCGGGGTGCAGCAGGTGATGGAGGGGCAGGCCCTGGGGGAGGCGGAGCCAGCTCAGCAGCCCAGCCAATCGGATTTGATGCTTCCGAACTTCACGCTCTTCAGACTTTGGTTCTCCAACTTCAGGTAATAGGCGCCCTTGAAGAAGTAGCTGTGACCTGGAACGAGAAAGAGAAGAGCCTGTGACCAACCCATCCTCCAGACATCATAGCACAGAGAAGGTTCCTGAGAACTTTACAAGTCTGCCTGTCATAGAGAAGATGTTTTTAGTTTATAAGTTTTTGGTTTTTTTGATCTGGACCATTGCTAAAAGTCTTTCTTGAACTTGTTACAAAACTGCTTTTATGTTTTATGTTTTGGTTATCTGGCCAGGAGGCATGTAGGATCTTAGCTCCCCGACCAGGGATTGAACTTGTACCCCCTGCATTGGAAGGCGAAGTTTTAACCACTGGACTGCCAGGGAGGTCCCTAGGGAGAAACGTGTAAATCACAGAAGACCCCTCTGAGGCTGGAGGAAGGAATTAAGCTCTCTGAGTCCCTGTTTCTTCTATTCTCTGTGGATAAAGATACCACCTCGTAGGGGTTATGGTGATGATAAAATGAGATGATATATGCTATTATTAATATAAATAATAGTCCTGGGCTGAGCATAAGCATCAAGCTGGGCACTTTGCATTCCTAGAGGTGGCAAACCAAGAGACTCTTATCCCTATCAGATGGCCCACATGTGGGTTTTATTTAATCCACACAAGTTTTCTGTTTTGTTCTGAATAATCTGGAAATTTCATATGAAAATATGGATTTCTCACTTCTTTTTAAAAGAGCTAGAATATCTAATAACACTACTCCCCTCTTCTCTTTTTGGGAGGCCGCACCAGGTGGCATGTGGGATCTTAGTTCCCCACCCAGGGATCGAACCTGCACCCCCCTGCAGTGGAAGCATGGATTCTTAACTACTGGATTGCCGTCCCTGCTCCCCTTTTCTTGCAGGGCAGAGATCATCAGAAGCAGAGAAGCAGCTGTCCCCAGAAAACAAGCCATGTACTCTCTGATGCTCCACAGACCACATCACTCCCTGCTGTCTGCCTTGCCTGCTTTGCTCATTAATGCACCAGCTTGGCCCCTCGGGGATTTGGAATTTCCTACTCCTGACACATATGACCTCATTTACTTCCTTTCGCCCCCCTGGCACACAGGAGGTGCTCAGCAGCTGTTTCTTTCTGAAGATAATCCTTAACCTGACACCTGGCCGCGCCCTGCCTTTTCTTGGACATGTGAGAGGTTTAGTCAGGGCCATGTGCTTAGTGTGTGATAGGAGCTCAGAAAGCATCTTTGTGAAATTTCATTGAAATCTCCTCGAAAAAGCCAAACTGGACTCATTTCCAGGGCCCTAGAGACCTCCCAGAAGACTCCTCAGGAATCTGGTTTCCAAACTCCAAATTCTAGCCTTCGCTGGTTTGGTTGTTTCATGCAGCAAAGGAACAGAGACAAATGGACTATCTTTGCCACCTCATCATCAGGGCCTGACAAAGGTGGTCCTGTCTCAAATGGAGCCATCCTTCTGCTAATGGGAGGCGGTCACAAGGCCTCCTGTGGAACCCAAAAGGGCCTGGATCAAACCCCAGAATGAATCCAGGGCACCGAGCCCAGGTTTCTCGCCCCCGGCAGGCCTCCCCTCCTCCCCGCTCTCTGGCTCCAAGCTCCGCAGCTGTGAGGGGCCTTTCTGGGTCTTACTGCCTGGAGCCGGCTGAGTGAGCAGAGGTCAGGGGTCTGGATGCCTTCCCAGCGCTGGGCTGAAGGGGCTGGTTTGTTTTCCCGGGGCGCCGCCTGCCTCCCCACACAATGAGGGAGTGTGTGCTTGCGAGGAGCGGGGCCCTGGCTGGGGGCAGGGAGTCCTAGAAAGCGGCCAGAGGCCTGGGCAGCTCACCACCGCCCTGCAGGTCCACCACAGCATCCAGGTTATCAGGGATGGCGTTCCAGGCGTCAGCGATGAGCTTGGGGAAGCCGGGATCCATTTTCTTCTTCACCTCATTGTATCTGCAAGGAAAATGGCCGTGGTGAACCACTGGGTCTCCCTCACGGCCAGCCCGTCCCCAGCGTGACCGGAAGGTCCGACTGATGGCTCCTGGGTGAGCCTGGGAGGCCGGCTCTGACCCTTCAGGGAGGCCCCTGACTGGAGCTAAGGGGCAGGGAGTCAGACCTGGGTAAATCCTAATTCCACGACTCACTCATTAGGTGACTTGGGACAGTCCCGTAAAAATAATCTTATAATTACTGCTAACGTTTAAACCGTGTTACCCACCTTCCATATACTTTCTTAGTCAATCCTTATGGCAATCCTATGATAGTTACTACCATAATACTCATTTTATATACCAGAGGCTTAAAAAGGGGACCCAGTTTCTAACTGGGAGTCCAACTCAGGCCTGTCTGGCTATAGGATGGCAAATTGCTCTCTGAGCCTCAGTTTTACCATCTGTTAGATGGGCTATATTTAATGTATTGATATTTAATTATCATATATATGAAATGGAATAACACATGCAAAATGCCTATCACAGTAGCTGAGAAATGTTAGTTCCCTTAGAAACTCTGATCTCTGCAAACAGCAAACGCTGCAAACAGCATACAAACAGCACTGGACCAGGAGCCCAGAGACAAGGTCCTGCCCATCACTGCTCAGCTTGAAAAAATGCTGCTGCTTCATCTGTCAAGTGAGTTGATAGTCCACATCTTGGGCAATGATCTCATCTGGGACATGAGGTTACAGTACAAGGTGGTGCATGAGCTCCCTGTGAGTCACAGACCAACTTCCTGTCATCTCAGTCCCAACGGCAGCTCCCAGGGCAAGTCGTTATCCGAGGCTCTGCCTTTAATTTGTGTAAATACCTGGAGTATTAGTTGGCATATTCCTTTCCTGGCCAGCAACATCTGTCTTTTTCATTTTAATTTTGGGAGAACTTTTAAAAGGCTGGGGTCATTTTCATTCCACTGCTTCTCCACTTACACTCCATCCACTTATTATTCTGCAAACATTTAATGACCTCCCACTATGTCGCTGTGGATATTGTAATAAACAAGATAAAGTCTTTCCCTCACAGTGCTAATTTTCTACATAGATCTGTGTTTTGAATCTCATTCTGGTGACAGCCCAGTACCAGCCTCATAGCTGACTCTTTTCTTCCCCACAGCCAGCTTGACCACCTCCAATCCCAGATGCCAAAAACACCTTCCCCTGTGAGCTCCCTTCTATAGGAGTCTTTCCCCTCCGCCCATCACCCTCAGAACTGCCAGAAATGCCTTTCATAATCCCATCTCTGTCATGAGACTTCTTGCAAAACCTAACATGCTTCCTTGTGACCTGATTTACCAAAACCAAGTTTCCCAGCTTGGGAAGGTTCCAGCATCCCATCCACACCCCCTCCAACTACACTCTCTGGAGTGACAATGGCTCGGAGCTGTGTGCCCTTGAACTTGCCCCTCACTTCTTTCCCACTCTACCCAGAGGGCAGGGAGGGCAAGAATCAACTGAGGTTCAGAGAGGCGAACCAATCTGCTTCTAAGTTCTTTTCCTCCAGGAAGACTACAGCACGGAGGCTTCGGAAGATGCTGGCTCTCAACAGGACCATGTGGCTTCACACTTTGTCCCCAGAGCTTCCTCCTACAGTGTTACCTGCTCACTGGGACGCTTTTTGAAAGGTTTCTCTGTGACCCTCTGACCTTCTCTCTGGCTGTAGAACTATAGTGGAGAGTAGGTGTTACGAACACAGATATTTGTGTCCGAGATTTTTCAAAGGTATATCCTTGAGGCCACCTGGAAAACACAGCTAATAATAGTGGTTACCTTAAATGAGAAATACAGGTGAAATGCATAGCCCCAGGATGTGGTACAGGGCCCATCATGAGAACCATCACTATTTTATTTGTACATGTTTATATCTCTTCCCTTCATAATATTGTAAGTTCCACCAGGCAGAGAGCAACTATTTCTTTTTTCTCCTTTTTTAAAAGAAGTTTTGTATTATATTCATCTCTTTGCCATGTGGGATTTCAGTTCCCTGACCAGGGATTGAACCCATGCCCCCTGCATTGGAAGCAAAGAGTCTTAACCAGTGGATCACCAGGGAAGTCCCAGAGAGAGCCTATTGCTTGACCACTATCTTCCAGCACCAAGGTAAATGCCTGGCACATAGGAGATACTGAATGCATTTTTCTGGGCTTAGTGAAAGCTTCTAGAAGCAAGGGCTGAGCACTCCCTGGAGTTGTCCAAGCTGGAAGTAGCTCCTTGTCCTGTATCATTCTGGAGCGATTTCTCCTTTTCCAGCAAGGAGGCCTGGGCCTCTGTAGATTCTACCAGGACCAGTGTCTCATCTCTCCTGGGAAAAAGATCTGTCTGCTTTAGAAACCCCACCCAGAACCTCCAATAGATGTTTCGGTTCTGCTGCTTTTAAGGAAGATTTACAGAGCTTTCCCTGTGGAACAGGCTGTCTGTCCCAGATCTAGGCTTTGGCAGGTAGGCTTGCTATTGAAAAGGACTAGAAAGCAGGTAACTCTGCCCAAAACCCAGCAAGGTGCCTGCACATCCTGAGCATCAGAGAGAGAGAGTGTGTGTGTGTGTGTGTGTGTGTGTATGCACGCATATACACACATATACTCATGATTACACATGGACACATCTGTTCCCATATGTTTACATTCACAGTGTGTGTTGCAAGATGATTATAAATGTCCTTTCAACACTGATTCAAAGACACTAGGGCTCTTTGATTCTAAGATTTGGAGATGCAGTGACTGCGGTGCCTAGATGCCTTTCCACACAGTATGTGCATGTGCCTGGGAGTGTTACGGAGCCTGTGGGCGTAGCGCTGTGGTTTCCTGGCTGTTTCCTTTCCTGAGGCTTGAGATATCAATCAGCTTAAGTTGCTAAGTATCTTAGCAATATGTCTGGAATTCCACCCTGAAACGGCAGCTGGGGACATAAACAGCTTCTGAATGCAGGGCAACTGGGGGCGGGTGGTGGAGAGGAGGGGGGAGGACAGTGAACTCCGGAGGGAAGCAGGATTGTTCCGGGGTGGCAAAGGTTCAGATGCAGACACAGGAGGAATGTGAGAATGCTAGGATGCAAAGAGGAAGACCATCCCTTCTCCACCGACCCAATGACCCTGAGGGTACACTGCTGGGGGCCCAGGGTTAGAAGGCCAAAGAAGCAGTTAAAATCCTATAATCTGCGTAATCGGCAGCCAACACACTTGCCTACAAATAACTTAGGCAGGTTAGTTCATCTCTTTGGATCTCAGTTTCCTCATCTAGGAAATGGGAAGATTTATAATGAAACTCCTGAGATCCAGGCTGCCTGTCACTAACCTTTCCTGGATATTGGACTCCCTGGCCCTCAGCCCTGACCGTGGTCTCTTAGAATCAGACCCTTCCCTTTAGTTTTAAAATTACTAAAAAAAAAATTATTTATTTGGCTGCACCGGGTCTTAGTTGCAGCATGCAGGATCTTTTTCAGTCTCAGGAGGCTAGATTTTTAATTGCAGCATGCGAACTCTTAGTCATGGCTGTGGGATCCCTGACCAGGGATTGAACCTGGGGCCCCTGCATTGGGAGCATGGAGTCTTAGCCACTGGACCCACCAGGGAAATCCCTAGACCCTTCCCTTAGATGAGCTGGGGCAGAGAGCTACATGTTTCCAAACTGGCTTCCTGCCAGCCTGCACCCATAGCCAGGGGGCCTGTGGACGCCGGACCACAGGGTGCCGCTGCTTCCAATGAGGCCAGATTTGGATGCTGGCTCCTGTGAGTACCCATCTCAGTTTTCATCCCGTGTTTGCCTTCTGCCATCCCTGCCTTCACCACTCCCATCTCTTGAGACCCCACTACCTCAGGTACAGTGTAGAAAAGTGGAGAATCGCATGTTCTCTGGGAGCCAGAATTCCAGGGTTCAAATCTCAGCCTGCCACTACTTGACTGTGTGACATTAAGCCAGATACTTAACCTCTCTGAACCCATATCCTCACCTGTAAAATAGGAAGAATAATAATACCCACCTCATACATAGGATCAGAGTAGCAGCTATTATTTTTATTTTTATTACCCTCTTCTTCAGTGAGTCGCCCTAAAATACAAAGCTCCAGACCAGACAGTCATGAGCCCAATCCAAAGACTTCTGAACAGGGAAAGGAGGCCCTAACCAGAACTGTACCAGTAACGTGCCCAAGAATGGTTCGCCCTTTGGTGACTGGTCAGAGGGCCCATAGCCCTGGCGGATTAGAGACCAGAGAGGGAGCGTTTACAGCCCGCCAGCCTCTGAACTCAATCCAAGAGGCTCAAGGCCAATGTCTTCTCTCTGTCGACATGGCCGGCGGTGCGGCTGTCCTTAGCACCGCCCTCCCTTACCTCCAGAACTTGTCTCCGGCGAAGATGTACGTCTTCTTGTTCTTGCTCCAGTTAAAGGCAGCATCCACTTTCTGGACATCACGGGGGAGCCCCAGGCTGGTCAGTGGCTTGGGGTACCCTCGCTCCAGGGTACTGGCTGAATAGACCCAGTATTCATTCCCTGGGGTGAAACAGAGGGTGCGTTGGCGGCAAGTGCCCAAGGCTGTTCCTCCCACCACCAATCTGCCAGTGATCCCACTGTGGCCTTTCTCAACGGGGACACGAGTTCTGCTCACTTCTGGATTCAGTGCCCAGAATCAGGGCCTCCATTTAAGGCTTCACAAATTGGTTATGGAAAGTCCCTGGCCAAGAAGGTGAGCGGGAGTGAATCCCACCCTGGCTTCACTCATCAAGCCAGAGATTCTAAGTGCCACAATTGCCGCAAAGAGGCACTTTTTTCTAATTTGCACAAAGGTCCCCTGTGAGCCAGCAGCTGCCCTGGTCACTCTGGGATGGAGGAGCTGGGGAGTCCGCTGGTAGGCACACACCCACAGTGCTGTCTGAGCCTTCAGCGTCAAGGAAGCTGTCCCTATGACCGCATCTCAGCCTTCACCCCCCCAACCACCACAGCCCTTCCTGCGTCCCCTCCGAACAGCCTGTTTTTCTGTCTCCCCTCCTGGTTCATAAGCTCCCTGAGAGCAGGGGTTGCAGCCCTGGCACATGGGAGGTGCTCAGATAAAGAGTAAAGGAGCAAGGTTTCCCAAATGTTACCCATATGGCCCTGCTGTTGTTGTTTAGTCGCTAAGTCAAATTCAACTCTTTTGCAACCTCATGGATTTGTAGCCCGCCAGGCTGATCTGTCCATGGGATTTCCCAGCAAGAATACTGGAGTGGGTTGCCATTTCCTTCTCCAGGGGATCTTCTCGATCCAGGGATTAAACCTGTGTCTCCTGAAATGGCAGCTGGATTCTTTACCACTGAGCCACCTGGGAAGCCCATATGACCCTACCTCGATGATTTTTACCACTTAGAGAGACTCCTCATGGACCTCCCTGGGAGCTCACTGGTAAAGAATATGCCTGCCAACACAGTTCAGGAGACGCAGATTTGATCCCCAGGTCGGGAAGATCCCCTGGAGAAGGAAATGGCAATCCACTCTTGCTTGGGAAATCCCATAGAGAGAGGAGACAGAGGCAGGCTACAGTCCCTGGGGTTGGAAAGAGTCAGATAGAACTTACCAACTAAACAAGAGTCTCCTCGTACTATTACTTAACATTCTGCTTTCAAGGAATTCATTTTGAAGTCTACAGAAATAAGTGTAAACATTAAAAGTAAAAACAAATACGTGTTTAAAAAATTCTAACTTAAAGTGTCATCTCCCAAAGGCACCAGCATTAGGAAGGTATTAAAGACAGTAGCACTGAAGTGTCATTTTCCTCTGGAAAACGAATCAGAAAGATTGAAAAATAAGTAAAAGGTTACTGAAATGCTCATTCTGTGAGCCAGTGCTGGTTGATGCTGGATGTCTGAACCAATCTCCCAGATGATGGAGCACCCCCCGGTGTACAGGAATCATGGTACAGCGCCCCCTGGAGCCGAGGGCCAAGAAGCTCCCCTCCCACAGACCTGCAAAGAACACAGCCTTCTCCTCCTGTGGGTCTTCGTACACAGCATCGATCTTTTCCGGTAGCTCAGGCCAGAATGTGGCTACCAGCAGGGGCCCTGTGGGCTTGTCACGTGGTGTCACGGTTCGCCAGATGAACCTGGGGGAAGGGGACACAGGAAACCACACCTTCAGTCCCTCTGTAGCTGTAACCACACATGCCTCCCCAAGCCCACTCACAAACATCCCAGGACAATTCCTTGGCTGGGTAGCAGGGAGGCAAGGTCAAAGGAAGGGTGGAGAAGGACTGGAGAATGAGCAGAGTCCCCTCAGCAAGATACCAGAGCAGAGAAGTAACCACTTTGCTTCCCCTCCTGCTCCCTCCTCCAGGAAGCCTTCCCTAACTACCTCTCTCTCCATATTGTGCTCTCCCCCCTCTGAGTCTCTCAAAACTGGCAACACCAAGGGCCTGTAACAGTAGTTTGATTGTTTTTTAAGTGTTTTATCTTTCCTACCAGATTAGAAGTCAATTGAGGAAGGAGCTGATGGCACTCAAAAGCATTTCCTGAATTGAAATGATGGATTCATGCACTTTGGCAGGAGTAATAAAGTGTGCATGCATGCTCAGTTGCTCAGTTGTATCTGACTCTGCAACCCCATGGACTGTAGCTTGCCAGGTACCTCTGTCCATGGAATTTTCCAGGCAAGAATACTGGAGCAGGTTGCCATTTCCTCCTCCAGGAGTAATAAAGAGCCATCATTTATTGAGGGCCTACTAAGTGCCAAGCACTTCACATGGCTTGTAAAATGTCAAACTTACAATATTATAAAATAATATGCACTCTTGGTGGTCTAACCAGCACCCATTATTTACTTCCCTATAATCCTTCCTCACAAAATACCCACACTTATGGTCCTTCCTTTCCTATAGATGGATCCAGTCCCCATTCTGATGAGTTTAAGCTACCCGTTCTCAAACTGAGATCTCCAGACCAACACGTGGAACTCATTTGAAATGCAAATTATTGGGCTCCACTTAGGACCCATGAATCATACCCTCTGGGCTTGGGGCCCAGTAATCTGTGACTTAAAAATCCTTCCAGCCGATTCTAATGCGTGCCAAAGTTTGAGGACCACTGATCTAATCCTATCAGAGTTTAGCATTCCCCGGCAACTGTTATTGATTCAGCAGTGGCCATATGTCCTATGTTGCCACAATAAGATTGAAGACATACACTTGTATTTCACATCTGGAGATCTCTCTCTCTCTCAATCGCTCTTCTGCTGCATGTGGGCAAGGAAGTTTACAGCCCCAATTGCCATTAGAAGTCATCGTGTGACCCCAAGGGACGCAGCCTTAGGATGAAGTCGATGCCAAGGAGGGTAGTGGACAAAGAAATCAATGAATCCATGACCCTCTTTCTGCCCCTGGAGGTAGCCCTACCCCTGGACTTTGTACCACGTGGGAATAATTTCTTTCCATTGTTTAAGCTGGTTTGAGTTGGGATTCTTTGTTACTTGCGACCAAAACAACCTGATACAGGAAAGTATCACGATCCTTACTTGGCAAATGACGCTCCGAGAGGTGGTGGAATTGCCAGGATTCAAATCCAGATCTGACTCCAAAGTTGAATTATCCTTCAATACTGCCTTTCTAGTCCCCCACAATGTCCAGAACCAATTTCTGCATATGGTCAGTGTTTAAATACTTACTGATCAATTCAAGGAGCCCATTAAACACTCATCAACTTCCTTTTGAAAGAAAGTGGGATGTGTCAGACCAGGGATGGCTCCGACCTGGGCCTAGGCACCACACCCTTTCCCAGCTCTGTACTCAGACCCACCAGTGTGGTCAAGGTCTCCTTAGAGAGAAGTACAGCAGATCAAGGGTGGTGCCGGAGCGTGGGTTCCCTGGGCTCACCTCCTCCCCATCCTTGAAATGAGGGCTGCAGGGCACACTGAGATCTGTTGTTACGTGTCCTGGTTTGGGCATTCGTGGACTGATGGACCAGACTTATTGCATTATGGGTCTCATCTCTCTCTGTATTCTAGCCATCTATCTCCCTACTGGCATCTGCCCCACTCCTCCCACCCCTCCCCCCCCACCCAGCACCTAGCCCAGTGCCTGGAGCAGAGGACCCCCTTCACAAGAGTTTGTGGAACATCTTCAGCCTCACCAGGCTCTCCTGGGATAAGCCAGTAACTTTTGCATCTCTCCAGCTTTGTTCTTGCAATTCCCTCATCTCAACCACGCTCCCACCCTGCCAGCCCCATCACGTCCACCTGCATCTGCTTCTTTAATATTCCTGCTTGGGTATCACTTCACATCTGTGGACTCAGATGTGTCCACAAAGTGTTGTGCTAATATCTCTGCAGTCACATCTCTTTCATTCTGCCATGACGGTCCTCTCTGCCTCTGTTCCCTAAACCAGACGAGCGGCGCTCAAACTTTAGTGTGCATCAGAATCATTGGGAAAAAAATTTTTTTCTTTTTTTGGCTGTGCCTTGCAGCTTGTGGGATCTTAGTTTGCTGACAAGGGGGTGAACCTTCGCCCTTGGCAGTGAAAGCACAGAATCCTAACCACTGGACCACCAGGGAATTCTCACGGGGAAATTTTTTTAAATGCACATGCCTGGGACCCATTCCCAGAAATTTCAGTCATAGGGCCTGAGGGTGGGGGCAGAAACTTTTAACCCTCACACTCTAAGTAATTTTTGTTGGGCAGATTCATTGACCTTTTTTTGAGAACACTAATCTAGGCATTGGGCTTTCCTGGTGGCTCAGTGGTAAAGAACCCACCTGCCAATGCAGGAGACGTGGGTTCAATCCCTGGGTGGGGCATATCCCCTGGAGAAGGAAATGGCAACCCACTCTAGTATTCTTGCCTTGGACATGCCATGGACAGAGGAACCTGGTGAGTTATGGTCCACAGGGTAGCAAAAGGATCAGACACGACTTAATGACTAAAACAACAATCTAAGCATTAAGCAGCCCCTCTGCCCACAGCACAAAACACCTCACCCCGAGATCCCAAAGTTTAGCAAAGTATTGGCACAGTAGAAGTCAAGTAACTGTCAATAAGAACAGCTAGTACGATTAAACACACTTAGTCTGTGTCAGGCATTGTTCTAAGCACTAAGCTCATCTAACCCTTAAAACAGCCCTATGAGACAGGTAGGACTATTAATCCCATTTTAGAGATGAGTAATTTGGGAGGTAAAAAGCAGATACACAATTAACTTGCCTATAATCGTGCAACAGGTTAGTAGCAGGTCCAGGATTCTAACCTAAGCAACCTGGCTCCAGAACCATTCTCTCAACTATTATGCTCTATGGATGGACAGATAATGAATGACTTGATGATGCACATGAATACATAATGATGATGGATGGACAGATAATGGATGGATGGGTGGATATTAGATGATAGATGCGTGATGGATAGGTAGAAGAATGGAAGGATGGGTGGATGGATGCTTTAATGTAGTTGTAGATTTGTTGCCTGCCTCTAGGACAGCTGGGTGAATCACAGCCCTGGTGGATTGAGTGAGGGCCTTTATTTATAGCCTGAAGGACACCACCTCTCTGCCTGTGGTGACTTATTCCCTATATATAGAACATATGAGGTCAAGGCCATTCCAGGAGAAGGTCTGTGGTAGATGGAATCATTGTTCCTAATTCTTCCCTCCATCCCTGTTTTAGAAATCTACATCCATGTGTGATGTCACAGGACTGTGCAGTACCATCCCCTAGAGTGGCTTGGCCATGTGACTAGCTTCAGCCAGTGAAGCTATGCTCACTCAAATATGCTCAGAGTGGAGGCTTTAAATATATTTGTGTGGTCTGATCTGGCCTCTTGTGCTCCTGCCATCTGTCACGAGTAGCTGCTAACCCCAGGAGAAGGAGTGACATGCAGACCATCCCTGCATGCTGCAGCCCGAAGCCAAGACACCGAGGGGACCCACAGGCTAGGAGACAGCACAGGAAGTGCCTGTTGTGATAGCAGCAAAATCTGTTGGACATGCAACAAAAATGGGTCTCATTCCGGCCATTCTGTGAAGCCCCCAGTGGGGTCCTTGAGCAAGAGATGGGAGCATGAGAATAATGGAGACAGGGCAGAGGGCAAGGAAGCCAGCTCCTACACTCACCGGTCCTTGAAGAAGAAAATCTCCCCACGGATCTGAGAGATGCCGTCGAAGACGATGTCCTGTTTGCAGAGCTCAGGAGTGATGGGGCCCAGGGTTGGGGTGGGGCCGGTGCCAGTATCAATGTCAGGGGAGGCCCCTGGGGGAAAACACCCGACCTCAGACTCTCCCCAGCCCCAGGCGTTCTCCCCCACAGGCTGAGCCCCGAGACTGGCCCACCCAACCTGCTAATGGTCAGAAGAGTAGTATTCTGGTCTCGGTGTCAGCCCAGGAAAGACAGGGGGATGAGGCCTGGACTTGGAAAGAAGACTGAACAGAAACCAGAATTCTGTGGTCCTTCACCTTGTATGAACATTCTTCCCCGACATCCCCCCGAATCATTCCTCTCTATATCCATCCCTAAGAGGTAGGCATCGTCTTTACTCCCATTTTACAGATGAGGAAACTGAGGCCCAGATAAGTTTTGTATATGACCTGCCCAAGGATTTAAACCCAAAGCCCAAGTTCCTGAGCCCACAAGAGAGTCAGAGTGATCTGAGGGGAGAGCATGTGACCAGCACTGAGGGTGTGGCAGGCACCTCCTTCACTCCTGAGGGTAACCAGCCACAGTTTAGAGGTGAGGAAACTGAGTCCAGAGAGGTAAAGACCGGCTCCATCCCTTGAAGCTGGTGAGTGGCAGAGGCGACGCTCGAACCCGGAGCCACTCACTCTACTGCAGTTCTTTCCCAAGTTCTATGCTCCCCACACTTTGTTGCTCCAGAAGCATTTTCACGATTTCAGCCTTGTCTAAGTATCACCAGTACTACTATATGTTGATTTATTTTTAAAAATGGAGTCAGTATATAAACTCTGGCCTCACTGTATGCATTAATATACATAAATCAATGGTTTCAGGTACTAGCTGTACTGATCCTATTACACATTAAAATAAAAGAATTGTTTAGAGAACTAGAAGCTTTGCGCTCCTGTATCATTAAGGTCATTCCAGGTGCCGGGAATTTCTACCCTGTATTTAGCTATTAATACTTCTCCTGGATTCTAAACCTCACTTGGATGCGTGAACCTCATTGACCTTGGGGCTAGAGGGTTCCACCTTTCTCAGACCTCAGCTGACTCGCCTAGAAAATGGAGAGCCCATTTCTGCCCCGCCTGCCTTGCGGCGTGGCTCTGGGAAGCCAAGGGAGGCTCAGACACTGCTGTTATTTGGAAAGGAAAAGGCTGTCCGAGGGCCCACTTGGAGTGATGCTCCAATATCCCCAGACCAGGTTAACACTCCTGCCCTTGTCTCCTGCAGTCCCAGACCTGGCTGGTTCTACCCCCTGGCACCTCACCCCCAGCGACACGACCTCCCTAAACCCCTGCCCCAGGGACCCCAAGCTGAGGCTTACCATAGAGTTCTTGGATGCCCTGGATGTCATCGTGGGACAGGCGGAAGTTCTTAGTATAGGTGTAAATGGGTGCCATCAGGGCTCCAGGGTCCTGTGAGTGCTCCAGCCCCATTGCATGGCCAAACTCATGGGCTGCCACCAGGAACAGGCTGTACCCTGAGGGCCATAGGGATGGGAGGGGGTCAGAAGGACAGGGAGAGAGATAAGAGAGAAAGTCAGACCAGGGGATTTCCCTGGTGGTCCAATAATTAAGACTCTGGGCTTCCAACATGGGGGTCAGGGGTTTGATCCCTGACAGGGCAATTAAGATACTACATGTGACTCGGTGCAGCCAAAAAAAAAAGTAGTAGTAGTCAGGCCTGGCTCCAACAATGGTGACATTTGAGGACATCTCCATGGTATGGTTCGGAGCATAGAAGTGGCACATATTGATGTTTTCTTCTTCTGAGAATTCTGGGGTTGACAGACTGTACCTTTTTCTATCAATTAGAGTCAACCCAGGTCCCCTCATCCCTTTCCATGTGGACTGCACATGTGCTATAGACGGGAGCATGCAGTATTGGCAAGTCCTTTACTTAAAGGCCCATTTGTTTAAAAATCCCATTTCCTGGCTCTTCATTTTCTCTATAAAGAACAAGTGCAAAACCTGCTCTGCAGAGTCTCCAAAGAGGAAACCCTTGGTCCACCATTTCTTCCCCTGGGGAAGCTGTAAAAAGATGCTCACTTGGAGTGGTTGCCCAGGCTCAAGCCAGACAGTGGGCAAACCCCATTGTTGCACTCGGTTGTGTGTTGAATTGTGTCGCTGCAAAGACACGTTCAGGTCCTAAGCCCACGTATGTGTGGCTGTGACTTTATTTGGAAATATTGTCTTTGCAGATAAATTAAGCAACAAGTTAAAATGAAGCCATACTGCAGGAGGGTCCCCCCTTAATCCAGTGTGACCCACATCCTTAGAAGATACATAGAGACGTACATGGTCAAATAACAGCAGAGGCAGAGATTGGAGTGATACAGTCTCCATAGAAAACGTGGCCTTACCCACACCTTGATTTTAGACTTCTAGATGACTCCAGAAATACAAGGGAATAAATTTCTGTTGTTTTAAGCTATCTGGTTATGGCGGCCCTAGGACACTAACACAGGCTTCCCTGGTGGCTCAGTGGTAAAGAATCCACCTGCTAATTTGGGAGATGCAAGTTTGATCCCTGGGTGGGGAAGATCCCCTGGAGAAGGAAATAGCAATCCATTCCAGTATCCTTGCCTGGGAAATCCCATGGATCGAGGAGCCTGGCAGGCTACAGTTCATGGGGTCACAAAAGAGTCGGACACAACTTAGAAACTACACACAGCAAGAGGACACGAATACACTGCACCCTCCCCCAACCAACTACACTATACGTGCCCTGGAGCCTTAAACCACTCCGGCAGGTGGAGAACCCCACCTTTAGACAGAGGCTGGAGCAGAGCAGGTAAAACCAGGGTAAGTCTTAGCATGGCACTTGAGGGAGGATAAGAAAAACTCCCTTGGCCAGCCTCTGTCAGCTGGCATTCTCCAAGTTCCATCTCAGTGAGAGTAAAAAAGAAGAAAAGTAACTTAAAAAGAACCTGCCCTAATACTGGCTGGCCCAAGCCCAGCATTCTCATCTGGTCACCTGGGGCCTTGATCCCAGTGACACTGGGCCCTGCAGCCTAGAGTGACTCCCCGGTGCCCCCAAGGATCCTGTTCACTGCGGGGACCACACACTAAGGTCACAGCCTGTGTCCTAGCCACTCTCTCGCTCAAGCCTGTGAGCCCTGGAGGGCAGAGAGCTGTCCCTGGCAGCTGTGTTTTCAGCACCCAATACTGACAAGGACCCCTCCATTCACAACCTGGCAAAGGATGGTGTCCATGGGGCAGGGAGGGCCGTGAGGGCTTCCCCATTCTGCATGGAGGGTGGGGAGAGCAAGGCTGAGGCACCTACTGTATTCCTCTTCTGCCCACCCAGCTCCCTGAAGGCCGCTCTCTGCTGGAGTGGAATGTCTCGCAGGAGAATCATCTCTCTGGAGCAGGGTTCCCTGCATGCAGCACTGAGATGTTTGGGGGTGTGACAGACCCACCTGGAGGGGTATAGAGGTGGGAGGGGAAAGCAGCATCTGCTGGGGAAAACTGACTCCCACCCAGGAACTGGGATGGATCGGGCCTTATTTTGGAGGCCACCTCTTTGCCCAGAGAAGCGGGGCTAAGCAGGGAAGCGGTCCCCACCAGGCACGGGCAGCGTCACTGCTGAGTGGGAGGGTCCGCAGCAGAGATGCCGGTAGGTGGCATTGGCACCTACCTATGCCACGGCAGGCCGGTGTCTAGGGGGCGGCGCCTATGGCTGAGGTGGGTGGGGACTCTGGACGGTTTCCCCGCCCACACAGGGGCGGGGCCGGATGTGCAGCTTCTCCGCCCTAAAGCCAGGGCTCCTCATACCTTGGTCGGGGCAGAAGCCCCACTTGCGGTCATCGTCGTAGTTGGAGGTGGTCGCACACCACAACTTCCCATCACTGCGGCCAGCGCTGGTGCAGCTCTCGTGCTTGTTGCCCAGGAAGGTGAAGGGGAAGACACATGGGGCACCTTCCGAGTTCCCGCCCACAGTGGACATGGCTGTGGGATCAGGGACGTGGGTCAGCGGGAGGCAGGGGGTCCGAGGCCACCACCAGGAGCAACGACAGGACACGGACATTAACAAACCAGACTTACTGAGCGCTCCCTCAGTCCGGGCCGCTGGGTCAGGGGCTTTATACCCATCTCACATCCTGGCCCCCCTTAAACAACCCTGTGTGGTAGGGACCCTAGGTTACCTCTTACTGCATAGATGGGAAGACTGGAGCTCAGAGGGATTAAATAACTTGCCTAGGCAGTGCTGCTAAGAAGTGGCAGGGCTGGGATGCAAACCCAAGCAGCCAGACTCCAGAGCTTTTTAAATTAGCTTTCCATGGGTGGGGCCATGGGGGGACCAGAGGGATCTGGGCAGAGCTGAGGGTGCCAACACCCCTTCCAAGACCAGGAGCTCCATCACACATGGTCCAATGGGAGACTTACCTGTGTCCTCTGCAGAGAGCAGGGACTTGGCAAATATCTGCTGGAGGAAGGAAGGGAGGGAGGGAGGGAAGGCATTCTTATTGAAACACAAAGATCTAAAGATGCAGACTAAGACAAAGAGAGGCAGGGAAGAGAGACTTTGAGATGAGAGACAAAGACCAGGGAGGCTGGGAGAATGCAGGTCATTCTGAGCAAGTCCTGGGCGGGCCTGACCTTAGGCATCACCAGCCAATTCAGCTGAACTGGCCGTGGGTGCCCAACGTCTGTCCTGACTTTGGTGTCCATGCTGGGCCAGCCGCTGAGCGTCCTGACTAGCAGCCCCTGTCCTGGGGAAGCGGGGTGGGGAGGGCGCTCTTGTGGGTTTGCTATCAGAGGGTGGGGAGAGGCGCGACACCCACCCGTCTCCGGGCAGAAGCCGTACTTCTTGTCACGGTCGTAGTCCTCCGTGGTGCCACACCAGCGGTAGCCGTCCGTGCGGCCCTCCGTGGTGCAGCCGTCGTAAGACGTGCCCTGGAAGCGGAACGGGAACTTGCAGGGCTGTCCGTCGGCATTGCCGCCCATGGTGAACAGGGCTGGGGTGCAGGAGAGAGGGGGAGGGTACAAATGTGAGGGAGACTGTCCACCTGCCCACCTGAGCATCCGCTGGGCACCTGTGTGATGCAGAGCTGGCTGCCCACACCTACTCACACCAGGCAAGTTGTAGCATTGGTAACATAATAAAAAAAAAAATCTATACTGGTTGGTAAACTGTTGCTTCTCTGAACTTCTGGGGGTAAATACTCCTTCCTCCCTTGCCAGCCTCATCCTTTTCCTTGGACCTTATGGACCGCCCCCCTCTGCCCCAGCAATAAAATAGTTAACCCCTGGCACATAGTGGGGGCCTCCAAACCCTACCCCAACCCCAGGGTCACCATCTACTCTGCTTGGTTGATATCTGCATCCCTGCAGATTGCTAAATATATCATCCAAGGTGGGCAGGATGGCAACATCTTTCCATTTGACCAAGAGGGAAACTGAGGTTTGAAAAAAGCTGGCTCCAGAACTACTCATGGTCACCTAAATGGATGAGGGTTGTAACTGAGAACTATGAAACACATGATCTTCTCTCCCTCACGCTGTCATTCACGCTTGCGCACACAGAGAAAACTTCACCTCCTTTCAACCCCAGGCGTTTTCCCAGATGCTGTGGTCCCTGCAGGAGGGAGAGGAGAGGGAGGGCGCAAGGGGGAGGTGGTATCTTTGCAAACTTTTTAATACACACGCCAGGCTCCCACTCTGACCGCCCCAAGACATGGGCCATGACTGGAGGGTTCAGGGGAGGCAGTGGGATTAAGAGTCTGGGCTTGTCTGTCTTGGGTTCTCCCCCTGCTGCCCCGCACCCTCATCCACCCGAAGCTACAGAATGGTGTGTCTTTGGATTTGCCAACTAGCAAAACCACAAGTGCGTAACAAGGACCATCTGTGAACAACGGCGCCAGAGGTGACCTCACCAGCCCCCGTTAACTCCACCATGGCCAGAATCAAGCCCAGTCCCTGGCCACCCCCACAAGTCTCAGGGCCCCTTACCCTCACTGCTCCCCTCTCCCCAACCCAGTGACCTTCACCTGGAACGCCAGAAACAAGGGGGCTGACGGAGAAGACAAGTTGCCTTGGTGGCCTCGAAATGGGAATGGCGAAGTGTTAACCTCGATGGAGACCAGTCTCCACCTTTGGCTTCCCATCAGCGCCATTTCTACCACCCAGGAAGCCCCCATCTCTTCCCAAATCCTGCCCCCAAAGAGATGGAGGGAAGCAGACACTGACTCAGCAGTCAGGAGGGGCTGAGTAACCAGAACCTCTGCCCCAAGACCCAGGCACGTGCATGTCGTGCGTACTTACATCTGGCTAAGGACCAAGCCAATGGTTAATGTCCAGAATAGGGAAAAACCCTTCCTCAATTTATGAATTACAGCTGTTTCCCTTCTATTATCAAGACATTCTGTTCTAAACACAGGGGTTGACACATGGAAGGTTAACGCCATCCAAATCCCTACTGGGAAATGCAAGATACATTAAATATTTTTGGTTTTAAATACTTCTGACTTATTAATAGCCAATGCCTTGAACTTTACTTAATAAAAAGTACTGCATGAGTTTTGGGTACTAAAAGTGTAAACAGGAACACATTTAACTAGCTCTTTGTTTCTTTCCTTCTGTCAACAGGGCTGGTACTTAGGGTACAGTTGCAATAAAGTCAGAAAGATTCACAAATGTGTAAAATTACAGCTAAGAAGACAGAGGTATCTATAGATCAAGGAGTCTTTATGGACTAGTAAGAAAAAAGTATTTTAAAAGGTTTTGGACTTTTTCACATTTTCTCCATATCTTCTCAGTTTTCAACCTCCTGAATCATTAAACTTGATGACTTGATCAGAGTATAAGGTTAAATATGCTGTCCTTTCATGATTTCTGATTATGAAGTATGTCAAGGATAAATTAAAAGGAATTGAGTGTATATGTCAATACCCTCTCCCTTTAAAAAAAAATTTCCCTCTACATTGTTTCAAAATACCTAGAGCTTATGTCTCAAGCACTGACAAAAACACACATATAAATACTAGGTCAAACCTAATGCCTTTGCCAAGACCCAGAGATGCAGCCACAAGCAAAGACAGATGGAGATCAAGAAAGGCAGATGGAACAGACCCCAGACACACACACTCAGAGTCAGCGTCAGAACCAGAAGCAATGCCTGAAATCCCCCAGGTCGGTGTCCCCAGGTTGGGTACCAGCATTAGTACCAATCCCATTGTTAGGCTTCTGATTCATCCCAAGGCTCTCCTCAACCCTTGAACCTCCAATTCTGCTAGAGGGTAGAAAGTGGTTCTCAAGAGACCCACCGGGCACTTTAATCATTCTAAGTTCATTTTAATGTATGTTGGAAAAAATAATTAGCCCATCAAACTGATGAGTTCAAAAATATTGCTAGTGGTGAGACTTAATAGCAGGAATCGATTAAATCAAAAGAGGAATCGATTTAATCAAAGCATTAAGTGAATAACAGAACAGATGAGAAGGGCACAGTGATGGCTCACATTGGGAGGTAGGGGCTGAAGGAAGTTGAGGGGACACTGGTTGATTGGCGGTGCCAAGCCCGGGGAGTGTGGAGGCCAGGAAGGCCAAGGCCTGAAGCCAGCAGGACACTCACCTTCATGGGGACAGAAGCCATACTTGCCGTCCTTGTCAAAGTTGTACGTGGTGGAGCACCAGAGGAAGCCATCGGTGCGGCCTGTGTCCGTGCAGCTCGTATACTCCTTCCCGTTGAACAGGAAGGGGAACTTGCAATACTCGCCGTCAGCATTCCCGTACTTCACACGGACCACTGAGGAGCCACACAGGGTGGAGGGTGAATCTAGGCCTTTCTTTGGAGACCAGGATTGTGACTCATCGGGGTGTGTGACCTCCCTCCCCCTCCCATCTGAGCAGATGGATGGGTCTACCAGTTGCCAGGGAAGCCACAGTCTTTGTTGCTAGGTGACAGGGAGGCATGCGGAAAATTGGCGATGAGGCTCCAGCATGTAGATGGTCATATTTTTACCTTGTCCTTCTCCCAGGGTCCACAGCTCATCGTCGTCGAAGTGGGAATCTCCCCCAACTCCAGGGCCCGGGGCGAAGGCATGAGCCAGGAGCCCGTCTTTGCCATCAAAAGGGTACCCATCTCCATGCTCTGAAACACACTGGATCTCAGCTTCTAGCTCCCCCATTGGGGGCTGAACCCCAGCTGCATCTCATCCATGGTTGGGGCCCTTCAGCCCATCTACCCTCTGTCCCCTTCCCTCGCCCTGTTGGCTTATCCAGGACTGAGGACACAGCAAGCCAGTAGAGTGTTGCTGACCTGACAGTCAGCATCCTAGGGTCTACACTACTCCCTCAAGTCTACACAGCCCTCAGAATCTCTACCACCAACCTTTGTTGTCTATACCGTTGTTGATGACACTACACCTACCCACATACCTACACTGTTACACCAGTCTCCTCACCACCACCTTCATGTCCCCAGGGTCTATACCAACTACCTTCACATCCTCTTAGCCATATCACCTCTCTTCAAGTCATATTTTCCCCAATGGCCACAACATTAGTGTTCATAAACACTTTGCCACCCAGGGCCATACCATCTACCCACATACCTACACTGTCTCCTGTGCTACTGCCCCTCATCACATTCCACCCACAGTGTCTACACTGTTCACCTTCACGTCTACACTGCTGTGTTCCCATCCCAGCCCACACAGTACCCTAGACCCCGGCATCCATTCTGCTTACTCTCTAGTCTGCACTGGTCCACTGCATCTGACCCAGTTTCATATCTGGAGTTCCTCAGCATCTACAAGTGTCATCCAACAGAACTTCTTGCCATGATGGGAATGTTCTTTGTCCAACTTATTAGCCTCACGTGACTACAGGGCACTTGAAATTTGACTAGTGACCAAGAAACTGAATTTTAAATTATATTAATTGTAACTAATTTAAGAGTAAGTAGCCTTGAGGATCCAGGGGCTACCATATTGGACAGTGTGGGGAGCCCATCTGCTTTCAGTTTCATACCATCTCCAGGGAGTCAGATCATCCACTTCCCATCAATGTAGCTTTCCAATGTCTGCTCCAGTCTACATCACTCTAGAGTCTGCATCTTCTGCCCTCCTAGCTAAGCTGGAAAGGAGACACCCCCAGGCCTCTCTAATATCCAGACTGCCCCTTTACACTGACCCCCCTGCGCCCCTCCTTTGCCTACCCCAGCGGCCAAAGTTGATCATGATGTCAGCCTCTCCATCATGGATCCGAGAAAACCGTAGCGGGGTCACATCACTCCAGACTTGGAAGGCACGAGCAAAGGCATCATCCACTGTCTGGGGGTCCAGATCAGGTGTGTAGCCAATGATCCTGGAGGTGACAAAAGCGTGTGAGTGTGTGCAGGTGTGCAAAGGCATGTGAGTATGCCTAGGCCTACAAGTGTGTACGTATGTGTGCAAGGGTGTGTATATGTGATTGTGTATGAGTGTGCAATTGCGGATGTGTGTGCACAGGTGTGTGAATGTGTGCATACACGTGACATGTATGTGTCTGCATGAGTGTGGTGGCACATGCAGGCATGTGTGTACATGTTAAGTAGAGCTTCCTAGGAAAAGAGCCCACACGAAGTCCTGCAGAGCCTTAGATCAATCCATATGGATAGGAATGTAAACAGTGCATTCCAGGACCCAGCACAGAGATGTCACCCTTGGAGTGCAGCATGAGGCCTACAGAACAGAGCTCTCAGCCCAGTTAACAACCAGTTACAACTCTATAGCATAAAACCCAATTATCAACAGCAACCAATTATCAAGTTCTCGTTACCCACCCCAATAACCTCATTTAATAATGACAATGACTAGTATTGATTATGGGCTTCTGTGGTGGCTCAGATGGTAAAGAATCTGCCTGCAATGCAAGAGACCGACTTTGACCCCTGGTGCGGGAAGATCCTCTAGAAAAGGGAATGGCTACCGCCTCTCACTATGTGCTAGACACTGTGAGACCCCTATATGTACGCAGTCGACTTCCAACCGACCCATCAATAAGGTTTTGTTTTAATTCTGTTTTGCAGAGTGGAAAGCCAAGGGTCAAAGCACTGAAAAGGAAGTAGTTCAATGCTCCACAGCCAGGAAGGGTGAGATTCAAGTCCTGGTCCATTGGACTCCATTCCTAAGAACTTTGTACGCAAACTCCTTAGGATGCCAAGTCCTCCCAAGATCCCTCCTGGGTCCCTGGAGAGGGGAGAAGACCACGCCCAACGAGACACAGTGTCCCTTGGACCAGGGCCCGCCCTGCCTCCCACAGCCCTGCCTCGGCACCTGTATGTGATCTGGTTCTTGTCCCACTTGGGCTTTCGGGGGAAGAAGTTGTAGTTGGCCACGTCGGGGTTGCCGCAGCGCGGCTTCCGCATAGTCTCAATGGTGCTCTGGTCCAGTTCACCTGTCTGGGGTAACCCGAAGAACTTCTGCATCTTCTTCAGGGTGTCCTTTAGCACAAACAAGTTACAGCTCTCCTTGGGGCAGCCGTAGAAGGTGTTTAGGTATTGCTGGAAGAGATAAGGACCCCGGCACAAACAGCCATGTTAGGATGGTATAGCATTGGCCAAAGGAATCAGCACTGGGTAGAGTCCCAGGTTCCCAAACCACTAGCTTAAGTGACATACACACTCCCAGATGGCGACACATTCCCATTAGCCGAGTGACATACAACTGTTGATAGTGTGGTTTGGGAGTACAAGTTGGGTGCTCACTATATGCCCAGGTACTGATGTCAGCATGTGTTAACTCATTTGATGCTCATTGAAGGGGCTTCCCTGGTAGCCCAATGGATAAGACTCTTTGCTTCCACTGCAGGGGGCATGGGTTTGATCCCTGGTCCAGGAACTAAGATCCCCCAACGCTGTGCAGTGTGGCAAAACAAAACAAAACAAAACTGCTCATAGCCTCTATCATGTAGACATTAAGATTATCTCCATCACACAGAAGAGGAAACTAAAGCACAGACAGATTAAGAAACTTGCCTAAGATCACCAGCTCTCAAATGGCAGGGCTGAACTGGGACCCAAGTCACTGGCTCCAGAGCCCAGGCTTAGAACTGTTACCTCTCTACCACCTCTCTTTACCTCCATTGTCTCTTTTAATCCACCAAAATGCTGATGACATAGGGATTATTTCCCTCACTTTTCTTATAAGGGCTGTGTGCCCTGGGCTCCAGCAGGGGACAGACCTGGGTTCAAATCCTGAATCTGCCATTTCCCCAAAGAAAACAGCCCTGTCCTCAGGAACTGTGCAGCTGGCTCAGCCCAAATGGAGGCCAAAACCAAACAGTCCCTTGCAGGGGGTCAGAGACCAATCAGTTCATCTATTTATTTGACAAAACTTTTTGACCCCTAACAGGTGCCAAGCCCAGTGTTACTGGGCTGAGGGTCGAGTGGTGAGCATGACAGATGTTTCTAGTCTCAGTCTAGGGTTCAAAACCCAGTATAGGGAGGCTGATGGATCACAAGTAAGTGAAAAATTAAATATGTGATAGGAATGGTGGGGAGAGCCAGGAGACCTTATTAATGGGGCCCTAATCTTGTTTAGGAGGGTAGTTAGGAAAGAGGAAAGAAAGGGTATAATAATAATATTAATAATAAATGATAATAATAACATACAATGACTAACACTTATTGAGGGTTTTCCATGTCCCAGGTACCCTTCAACGTGTCTAAGGTGACCTCTCCTTTATTTTCCTTTATTTATTTTTTGTGGTCATGCCACGAGACACACAAGATCTTAGTTCTTCCACCTGGGATCCAACCTGTGTCAACTGCAGTGTAAGCATAAAGTCCTAATCACTGGACCACTAGGGAATTTCCTAAGATTATCTCTCCTTTAACCCCAAGACAGGTACCCTTATTACTCTCAGTTTGTAGGAGAAGCTCAGAGAGAAGTCACTTGCCCTAGATTTACTAGGCCAGTTGGTTAGTGCACCCCCTATTTGAAGTCAGGTCGTCTAAGTTCAAGGTTTGGTTTCTCACACCCTCCAATGCATGCCTCTGGGCAACATGGACCTCCATAGGTTGTAGAAGGTGTGGGGACCCAGGTAGCTTTGTGACTGATGCTCCAAAGCTCCACTTTCACCCCCAACCACAGCCCCATCATTATGCAGACCAGCTCCATTTGTCCACAAAAGGCAGAGACCTAGATGCTGGGTCTCTAGGGGCAGGGGTGGTGTCATAGCTTGAGAAGGAGTTCCCCGGGTGATGGGTGATCAGGTGACCAAGGGCGTGACGATTCTGTCCTGGACAGTTTGGGGAGAATAAGGGCTTTCTAAGGCGGTTGACTTAGCGACTAAACAACAACAACAACAAAGGGTGGTTGAAGCAATTAGCAGGGCAGATGTGCGCTGGAAGGAAAGTGTTGAGGGGCCCAGACCCAGCCCGAGTCTGGGTCTGGGGATCCAGGGGGAGGGGCAGTGCCCCTCCGCTGCCCCCATCCCTGTTTGTGCAACCTCTTGGCGGGGATGTCCCTCGCGCCAGGCGCGCGCGCTCGCAAAACATCTGAGCTGCAGCTCGGAAACCCGCCAGGAGGGAGGGCTCCCTGGCTGCTCTCCCACCCGAGCCGGGCTCAGTCCGCCCCCGCCCCACGCGCCGGGGCCCTCGTGCCGCCCCTCCCTCCGCCCTGCTGGCCCGTTCTCTCCCTCCGTCGTCCGACTCCTTTGGAGAAGTTGGAGGAAACTTTCTGAGGTCCAACCCTTGACCCTTGTTGACCAACTTGTTCATTGAGCCACTGAGAAAAGATGCGCTGGTCGTTTCCCATCGGCCCCAAATACTTGCCAAAAGGACCCCCGAGAGGTTGGTCCAAGGGCCCCTCTCCAGATGTGTGCAGAAGGCTCCCAGACATTGGCCAAAGTTCTGCTTTGCCCAGAGCTCCCACCCTCACGTGTGCAAAGGTTTAACCAAATTGTGTGTTAAAGGGCCCCTCTTCCCTAAGTCCCACAGGGGTTTCAAGGATCCTCCACTGTTTGCAAAAGAGACCCCTTCAGGCTTTTTGCCAAAGTCCTCCCAGGACGTTGGCCAACTGGCTTTGTCAGCCAACACCGCCCCCACCCCCCCCCGCCATGTGTCCAAGAATTGTTTACAAAGCCGCCCCCCTGTTGCCAAATCCCAGATGCTGGACAAAGTCATTGTTATTTGCAAAAGGGGCCCATTCCAGCGGTTTGCCATAGCACCTCGGTTCCTGACCCTGCTGGTGGCGCGCCCCCGCTCTGGGTCCTGAAAGTTGCCAAGCTGTTTATCAAAGGCCTTCTCCTCTTACCGCAGCTCCACCACCCTCCTTCGGCGGTCCAAAGACCACCCCGCGCGGTTCACTGAAGCCCCTCCCCCACGCTGTAAGCCCACCGTGGGGGTGGGGGGAGGGGTGGCCCTTCCTCCCGCTCCTAAGTTTCTCCAAACTTGGTTGGATGAGGCTAGCGTCGCAACTCACCACAGCCAACTCTTTGTCCGTTTTGGGGGCGACATCGCCAGGAAATTTGATGATGGGCGACGGCGCGGCGGCGGCGCGGCCCAACAGGCAGCCCAGGACGCAGAGCGCCCGCAGAGGGGCGGCCAGCGCGCCCCGGGACACTCGCGCCTCGGTCATTGCGCTCCCGGGCCCCGCGCGTCGCCCGGGGGTGGCTGGCTCGGTGCGAGTGGCCGCGTCGCCGCCTGGCTGGCGCCTGCTCCCCCGCGCGGCGCTGCGCTCCGAGGGGCTATTCGACTCGGTCTCCTCGGCTTTGCCAGGCTCAGCAGCGCATGGCCCGGCCCCCAGCCCGCTTCGCCGCCGCCTGCTCTCGCCCCGTCCTGGCAAAGCCTTTTTATGTTTAAAGCTCCAGATGCGTAGCCTCCAGCCACCGCCGGAGGAAGTCTGGATGCAGCGGAAACAAGGGCGGGCAGCCGCCAGATGTGGCCGGCTGGGCTGGGAGGACGCTGGCAAGGCTGAGGCGGGTGGGTGGGGGGGCGCTCGGGCCCGCCCCTCTCCGCCCCATTCCCCCTCTTGCCCTCCTCCTCTTTTCTCCTTTCTTTTCCTTTCTCCGCCTCCTCTCCCCTCAGCTAGCTGCGTTGGGCCTCTGTGAGCACCATCAGTGCGCGACCTCCCAACCTCTGTATTCCCCATGGCGGGGCAAAACCTAAGGACCCCCGCGGAAAAACATCTGGCGCGACCACTCTAGACTCTCGACGTCCTGGGGAGCAGGACTGCCGGCACTCCCGGGGCCTGGGTCAGAGATGGGGAGGAAGGGTCAAAAAGAGGTGATCAGTCCGCGCCTACAGATCATCAGAGCAAGAGCGTTTAGGTCATTAGAGATGGAAGGAGAGAGATGAGAGAGATGCAAAGAGGTACAGACATGGAAACAAAGTGAAGGGTTCTCCCCTCCTGCCCTCTTCCCCTCCTCCCCTCCTTTCCTTCTCTCTTCCGCTCCTTTCCTTCCTGTGAATGTTTAAGCATTTACTTGGCCTCAGGCATAATGCTAGGTGCTAGATATCCACTGGGAAACCCAGCAGCCCTGGTCCCTGTCCCTGAGGAACGTCCCCTTCCTCTCCCAGGAAGGAGAATTCACTACGTGCTAAGCCGTGATGGGAATCTTCAGTAGGCGTGGGAATACCTGACCTCAGTCCCTAAACTAGCACAGATGGTCAGGGGAGGCTTCCTGGAAGAAGTGACTTCCGGGCTGGGATCTGAAGACGTGGAAGTGTTAGGTGGGGGTTGGGGGTGGGAGGGATTGTGCTGGATGGTCTGGCTGAGCTTAGTCGCTCAGTCCTATCGGACCTTTTTCCACCCCATGGACTGTAACCTGCCAGGCTCACCTGTCCATGGGGATTCTCCAGGTAAGAAAACTGGAGTGGGTTGCCATGCCCTCCTCCAGGAGATCTTCATGGTCTAGGGAACATCATTTACAAAGGTCCAGAGATGAAGGACAGCAAGTTCCCTCTGTCTGGAAATTGGGGGTGAAGTGGGGGAGGGGGAGGAGGTGGGAGTGAGGGGCAACATCATGGGCTGAAAGGTCAGTGACAATCGGCCTGTGAGGGTGTCGGAAGTCAGGGTGATGAATCTGGTCTTTATTGTAAGATCCAGAAGAGCCTCTGCAGCTTGGGTCTCAGTGGGTTTCAGACAAGTACAGGCTTGTCTGACAGGCATGCCCTGCTGGCTGGTCAGAAGGCAGTCTGTAAGGAACCCCTTGGGAGGGACTTCACACCACAGGAGGGAGCCTGGCCCATCTTCCTGACCCAGAGAGAAGCCTTGCCTGTTTTGGGGAGGGTGAGTCCGAGGTCAATGGGGGAGGGGGGTTGCCTCCTGGCTCAGCCCCATTTGGCTCAGGTCCACATCCTCTGGATTACCAGAGAGCCAAGTTGGAGAGTGGAGAGCTGGGAGTGAAAATGGAAAAAGTTGTCTCACTAAAGCAGGGCTTACAAACTCGTGGCCTGTGGGCTGAATCCCGCCTGAACAGCATTTTGAAACTTGGGAAGCTTCATGTCAAAGTCTGACTTTCTGGTTTTCTTTCAGAAATTCCCCCAAACCCGGCAATCCTGGGTGCCAGCTTCCACGTGGGAATGACAGCTGAAGCCAAACAGCGGCTGCCTCCGTTAGCTGAGCTGTAGGCTTTGGTTTGCCACAGTCCCCGCCATTCTCTATTGCCTCACATGTGACTCAGCCCAGTCTTGCTCATTTACATCACTTGCCCCGTTTGAGGTCTACTGTTTTTCCCCCAGACCTTTGTAAGACATTGGGTACTCTTGGCACACGGCAACTTTGACCACACCTCTTCACAACCTGTGCAGTTTTGGCATTCCAAGGGCCCAGTGTAGGGGCTTGGTACCCATTTATTGTGTGGAAAGTTTTCCTTTCGTTTCAGGCTTGAAGCATTCATTAACAAAAGAAACCACTTGTCACACACAATAAACAATTTCAGTATTTATTATTCAATAATAAAAATCAATATTATTTATTTAATTTCAATATGTAATCATTAAAAGAAAAGAGAAATAGAAACAGTACATATACACCAACAAACTGGGCCAACCAACATCCAGACTTAAACAATGTGTTGGGAAGTCCTGAGTAACTGCAATCTGGAGTCCCAAATGGGAAAAGGTCTCAGGCAGTGTGTCCATTCCACAGGTGAGACTTCAAATTGTTATTTGGGGGGGGTTCCTGCTTATAATCCCAGGCCTCAAACTGATATCATCATCGGTTTGTGTCCCCAAATGCAGCTGTGGTTTGACTTTCACCTTTTTACAATGCTGTTTGTTTCACCTTGTGAGTCATAGGATTTCGTTAGACCCCAGAGTTTTGGCCAGACCCTCAAGGACTCAAGGATTCTAAGATCTACTCTCTTTCTTATCTGAAGTGCTGCCTGACTTACTGTGCTTGAGGGAAGGTACAGAATCTGGGCAGTGTCCAGGCAGGTCAGAAACAAGGTCGGAGGCTTGTTCTCCTGCTTCTGAAGTCTGAGCAAGACTTCTTCCATTTTAATTACCCTAAAAGTCGACCTCGGGATTATTTAGGTTGAACAGCATAGGAATAAGGCAAGATAATGCGAGCAGTCTTCTTAATTCTATAAGTCAAGTAACAATTGCAGATAGTCAACAGAAATAAAGTGACCAAAGACACAAGTAATGGGTTAAACAATGCAGAGAAAAATTTTTGAGCAGTAGGGAAGGGAAGTCGCTCAGTTGTGCACGACTCTTTGTGACCCCATGGACAGTGGCCTGCACCAAGCTCCTCTGTCCATGGGATTTTCTAGGCAAGAATACTGGAGTGGGTTGCCATTTCCTTCTCCAGGGAATCTTCCCAACCCAGGGATCGAACTCAGGTCTCCCACATTGTAGACAGACACTTTACCATCTGAGCCACCAGGGAAGTAGAGGATTTAGTAAAGAAAAAGTTTCAAATATAAATGAGAAGTATGCTTTCATACATCAACTCTTCCATTATCTTATTGGCGGCAATAGTGGTAACGATAGAATGTTCTATCAAGGCACAATTATAGTTATCTATGAAATTTTGTAACTCTTTGGTTCCTTGCAAATTTTACATAGAGGTTTTAAGGAAAATCTAATATTAGGAGTAGACAAAGTAGGAAATAGCACCTGAGTCCTTAATAAAAAGTTCTCATAGGAGGAAAATAATAGGTGGTCCCTTTTCAATATAAATGATCAACATGTGTTAGGCTTCTGGAAAAAGGGGTTCCTAACTGATACATGGAAGTAGTTTCTACATCATTGGTTACAATACATATAAACTGAGGGGCTATTTAAAACAACATATTAAAGGATTTAGGGAAGATAGTCCATTCACAATAGTTGGTGGAGTACTCCAATAAGCATGGCTCCTCAAATGTGAGAAGTTGGTCCACATAGCAGTCCCTAGGTAGCTTTGTCTATCAGTAAGTGGGTACAGTTATTAAAGTAACACGTGAAATCGGCACATAATACTCGTATTCAAGGCTTGAGCTGTATCTTTAGCAGTGCTGTGTAATCTAGAAAACAGGTTAATTTTGTCCATAGAAAGCCAAAGTTAAGGAAGGACAGACATTGTTGGCAGGGCTGGAGAAGTTATCCTGAGTTCGGGTCTGGCTCATGTTTCTCCAGCCTGAAGATTCCCCAGTAGCTTCCTTCATATTTTTAATTGTAGCCTGTCCTTGAAGGTTGAGTCATGAATGACAATCCACATTACAGGCTTAGTTGAAGAATAGTCTGTATGTTGCTTTTTCTCCCAGATAGCCACATTTTTGGTGTGCCCACAGAGTCAAACCTTTCAAGTCACCGGAATCTGGATAGACTTCTACTGCTTAAATTCAGGCTTGTTCATCTCTAATAGAGTTATACCATCATCCTGTAGAATTTGGAACCCTGTGACCATCTACATGAAAGACTGAAATGTTACTAGTTTTAACAATTTCCCAAATGTCAGACCATAATTCTCCCCATAGCTCTCTGGAGTCGAGTTACTCTTTGCCTATAGGGGAAGCCAGGTGGCCCATCCATTGGCTACCAACCAAGAATCTGTGTATACATGGCATTCAGTTAGATTTCTTTTCTTTAATACCTGGTAAACAGCATAAAACCTGGCAAATTGGCTACTTTTACCTTCCCCTGTAGTTGTCAGTGATTTAGTAGTGACCAGATTATATGCCACCTCTTTCCAATAGTGAGTGGATCCTATATATTTAGCTGATTCATCACTAAACCACACATGCTGTTTTTCTTGCACAGTTAAAGAGTCAAAGGGCATTCACCATTTTACAAGTAACTCAGTTATCTCAGGCTTATTTAGAGCCTGTTGCTCGAGCCCTTTTGTAAGACTTTCAGAAATCCTTTCATGTAATGCAGTGAACCCATGGGGCCCAGGTTTGGTTTGGTCCTGAATGTATCATTTCCATTTTATTATGCTGGGCTCCTGGTCTTGCCCAATCCTGTGGGTTTGGGGTGAACTTTCTACTCGTTGAATGATTGGCACTTGAGGTCGTAATATTACAGTATGATCTATAATCAATTGTTCCGTATCAATCAAAGTCCAGTCAGGAGCCAACAACAGTTTTTCAAAGGGAATGTAATTTGTCATAGCTTTTCTTCCAAGGAGCAAACGTCTTTTAATTTCATGGC